AAAGATATGATAGCGAACGGTGTCCTGGTTGTGATGGCTGGCGGTGCTGTTGCACTTTGTTTAGTAGAGCAATACGTACACTGTACACTGTACATGTACATGACATTGTACAGTGAGGCTTGTTACAGGGTATTAGGCATTGGCGGATAATGCTCGAAAAGGTGGCAGATTCTGCTCGAAAAGCAGTGAAATTGGCAGAACCATACAGACCTTATGGCGGGCAATTCCTCGAATTCTGCTCCGTTTCTTTATCCACATATATGTACCAAACATGCATGAAACATACCAGAAAAAGTACCGAATTCTGCCAATTTTTCTGCCAGCATTATCCGCAAAGGCCTACAGGGTATCCTTGGTAATTTTTTTTTTTTTTTTTACAGTCCAAACATCTTGAGCCTCTTGTACGGGCAAAAGAACACATTTATGAAGCATTAACACAATTATAACGAAGTAGTGGTTGCGACCTCGGCGATAATTTGTAAGAAAGGGTTTGCTCCCCACACCGGAGCTCGCGCTATTCCGCCGACTTTACTTGACACTTGACTGACTCACGACTGCCATTCAGAGCACACGAGAAGTCCATCGAACCTTCGACTCGGCAAACCTGCAAGAAAGCACCACTCCCTGCTCAATACACAGTGTTTCGGGGAATTCACCCCTCATCAGTTGAGCTTGAGTAGGCTGAGGAAGATTGTGCCTGAAGAGCACCACTTATATAGTGCTCTCCAGGCACAAACATCACCAGGGATACAAACTTACAGAGACGCTCCATTTCCAGCGCGACAAACACCTCGTGAACACCAGATAGCAGCGTGAGTCAGTGTCAACACAATTACATAAAAGTTTAAAATGAATGATACGGTAATGATTACACGCTTGGTAACTTTGTGAACACGAAAGGAGCGCGCATACGTGTACGTGTAATATAGGCCACTACCTGTTGGAAAAGAGGCTGCATAAGACAAAGAGGCTGCTAAATACATGTATGGCAAAGAAAGCTGCATGCCGGCAATCCAGTGGGAGAGAATTCCACCTACCCACTGAAAGGTAGAGTAAAGCGTGTAGAAACCGTGTAGAACTATACAGCTTCTTTCAAGGGCAAAACAAACACAATGAACATTTTTCCCAAGTGTTCCGAAAAAGTTCAACTCAAACCGTGTAGAAACCGTGCGGAAACCGCGGCGTAAATAATCATAATTATTGTGGTTCAGACTCGCCATCGGGCACAGGGTGCTAGTCAGCAGGCCAACGTGTGGCTAGGAAAGGTTCAAGCACGGAGCGGAAGACAAATGTCACGTTGCGTTCACCCCACTGAACTCTACCCTGCTCCCAAGAGCTCCCAAATCACCTCAGTGCAGAATGTTTTCTGTGTTTATGTTTCTTTTTTCCATTTTGCTCTTTTCGGCTAGCCCCTTTCTCGCTCATCCAACGCCTACTCGCAGCTCTGCTTGTCCGCTCCGATGCAGCTTCTCCATCTTGCCACCCCCCCCCCCCCCCCTACAAGGAACGCGACTGCGGGTCCATTGGCATACATGTAGCTTTCTGAACTAATCTGGCACTCACTACCCCACTCTCAACCCCTCGCACTCCCTCTCTCCCTCCCCCATCCCCCTCTCTCTCTCTCTCTCTCTCTCTCTCTCTCTCTCTCGCTCTCGCTCGCTCTTCTCTCTCTCTCCTCTCTCTCTCTCTCTCTCCCTCTCTCTCTCTCTCTCTCTCTCTCTCGCTCTCTCTCTCTCTCTCTCTCTCTCTCTCTCTCTCTCTCTCTCTCTCTCTCTCTCTCTCTCTCTCTCTCTCTCTCTCTCTCTCTCTCTCTCTCTCTCTCTCTCTCTCTCTCTCTCTCTCTCTCTCTCTCTCTCTTGCTCACTCACTTTCTCTCATTCTCTCTATCTCTCTATCTATCTATCTCTATCTATCTCTATCTATCTCTATCTATCTATTGTTTGAACCAGCTCTACCACTCGGTATTGAGCACTCTCTTGGACAGCCTGGAACCCCCTGTTTAATATATCTATCTATCTATCTATCTCTCCACCCTTCTCGTAATCATGATTATGTTTTCCACTGATGATCGGAACGAGAAAATCGATTCTGGAAGTGTGTAACAAGACAGTAAGCAGAAGCACTCGGCCCTTGAAAGTTCTGTTTCCACTTCACCACCAAAACAGCTGTCAGATAATAATAATAATAATAATGACAGTTCGCATTTCACTCATTGCATGAGGTCAACGCATCTGTTAACAATTTCGAGCCAAGCAGCTCTATCAGAAGCAGATTGCACAGCATCCAGAAGCTGTCAGATGCAATTACAAAATAATTATTGATATGTTCAGTGCTCAAAAGGAACTTCTTGTTGCTGTTCTTGGGAATGCGTGGTCGGCCGCAGAGCGCAACAGTGGTGGTGGTGGTGGTGGTGAAGGGCACGCAGAATGTACATGCACATGTAGATTGTGGCTGTTTTATCACTTCCTTGCACCTTTTTATTTATTTTTATTTTTTACACACATACAGATGTTCAAGTGAATTTGAATTTCACCACAGCACTCAACCACGCAGTCCTTCTGTCTCTCGCCATTCTCAAGCTTCTGGCCATAGTGTTCGTATTTGTCACACATGCATGCACACATGCATACATGCATATACATGTACACAAAGTGTCTTGAGTCTTAGCTGCAAACAGTGCTCAATACCTCAAAAAGGCGCAGAGCTTACCACACGGGGCAGAACAATTGAGTGTTTTTTGAAACACGAAGCTCGGAGTTACGAGAACGATTTTTTGGTCTCTGTTGTTCTGCCCTGTTCTGCCCCGTGTACATGTATATACATGTACATGTAATAATAATACATGTGCATGCACAAGTGATATATTTCTGAACTTCTTTTCCTTATAGTTGTAGTCTTGTAGCTTATTTCCATCATTCCCTGTAGTATTTTGACAAGAAGGGAACGAAAACGTTCAATACTTTGACACATGTCCTAATTGGCTGGTGGTGACTCTTGCGTAGATGCATGCGTAGATAATACATATTTTGTAATATTTTCTGCCTCCGATCCGTCCTACTTTCAAATTATTATTATTATTATTGTGTCTCTTTCCCTCAAACTAGTGAAGATTATTATTACTATTAGAAGTCTGAAGAAAACGTTGAACGGTCTCTGCTAGGATGACGACTACACCATAGCTCAGTGGTTAGAGCATCGCTGGCTACAAGCGAGGGTCCCTGGTTCGAGTCCTGGTGGTGACAGTCAATTTTTTCTTCAGACTTTTCCCGTTTGTCTCTTTCCCTCAAAACCAGTTAATATTATTATTATTATTATTATTATTATTATTATTACGAGTTAAGAGTAACTCTCCATCACTGTAACTGGATACTATATACAGTCAGAAAGTGCTTGGTTATTGCACTTTCTGACTGTATATAGTATCCAGTTACAGTGATGGAGAGTTACTCTTAACTCGTATCCATATGTCCTTTTCTTTTCTACATTTATTTATGGCTCAACATCCGAGTTTCAAATTGCACACCTGATGAGCCGTCACGAACCATACGGCGAAACGTACGTCGTGTGAAACAACTTATTATTATTATTAGTAGTAGAAAGGAGAAAGACATTATGGATACGAGTTAAGAGTAACTCTCCATCACTGTAACATGATACTTTATACAGTCAGAAAGTGCAATAACTAGGCACAAAACTCGTGTGAAACAACTTGTTTTGTAGTCAACTAGTCCATCACAATGTCATGCATGACGTGTGAAACAACTTGTTTTGTAGTCAACTAGTCCATCACAATGTCATGCATGAGGAGTACTGTAGGAGTTTGGCTTTCGGCTTGTACAACTCGTTTCCGCAAAGCTTCCCATTTCTTTACTTATCTTTGATATTTATGACCCACCCAAGTTGGGTGGTGTGTTGCTGCTTTGCTGCCTCGAATTGTAGTTAGACCACTTTGTCAGATATCGTACTGGTCTCGTCATCCGGTCCAGTAACAATCGACATTCTTTGTTCCGTTGGGACTGTAGCTTTTGCTCGTTTTCGTTGCGCTTGCCTTCCCCTCTTTGGTCTTTTCCATAACCTTGAACCTTCCAAGTTGGAAGGCTGTCGGTTAGCGCTACGGAGATATGTTGAAGCTAGGTGTTAGGACGTTGAATGTTTCAGTACTCTGTCAGTTTTGTGCCTAGTTATTGCACTTTCTGACTGTATATAGTATCATGTTACAGTGATGGAGAGTTACTCTTAACTCGTATCCATAATGTCTTTCTCCTTTCTACTACTTAGTTATGGCTCAACATCCGAGTTTCAAATTATTATTATTATTATTATTAAGCATCAGTTGGGGAAGTGAACTGCCTGAAAAGAGAAAAAAGCGCCAGACCCACCAGGACTCGAACCCGGGACCTTGCTTGTCATGAACAATGCTCTAATCACTGAGCTATGGGACCAGGCTGAACCTAGAAGGCGCTGACAAGTTTTTCACTCCAAAGCCTGCAAAGGCAGCTCACAACACGTGCCACACATACTGATGGCACTTGGGTCTTTCTCCCTCCCCCAGGGGACCAACCAAGGTCAGTTCCTGGACCCTACCAGAAGTGAAAGAAAAGTGATTAATTTTTGAACGGATTGGGAGAACTTCAAATACAAAGGATCAGTGGAGGATCAGGGTGGATCAGGGTCCCAGGGTCCCAGGTTCGAGTCCTGGTGGGTCTGGCTATTTTTTCTCTTTTCAGGCAGTTCACTTCCCCAACTGATCCTTTGTATTTGAAGTTCTCCCAATCCGTTCAATAATTATTATTATTAACTGGTTTGAGGGAAAGAGACAAACGGGAAAAGTCTGAATAAAAAATTGACTGTCACCACCAGGACTCGAACCAGGGACCCTCGCTTGTAGCCAGCGATGCTCTAACCACTGAGCTATGGTGTAGTCGTCATCCCAGCAGAGACCGTTCAACGTCTTCTTCAGACTTTGTAATTATTATTATTATTATTATAGACAACACCTCATAGCATGAAAAGAAGATCAGCCAGTACGGTACGGGAGATGTGGGTGTTAACCAACCATGGTGAATAAAGTATTTAAAGAAGAAAAGTAATGGTCAAGACGGAGAAGCATGGGAGGGACAGGTGATGGTGAATCAAGTGAGCAGATTTAAATGCGTCCAGGTTACTGGCATTGCGCGTAGTAGCGGGCAGCGCAAGCCAAGCAGAGTAGGCAACAAAGAGTGGAGAGTGTACAAGGGAGGACGTTTTAGCCAAGGAGAGGGCAACAGAGCATCTTGTCTGGGAGCCATCTGTGGTTCGGAACCAGTTGTACACGTTAAGATGAGGAGGATGTAGAGCTTGTTTAAATTTGCGAGCAAAAGTGCAGTTGTTGTTGTTGTTGAATTTTATTTAAAGTCGCAACACAAACAGGCGATGGCGCCTCCTTTTATAAATGTGAGCGACATGGCAAATGTAATAATAACAGTAATGGGGAGGAGAGGAGGAAAAATCACAAGTGAAAGGTTTAAAAAAAAGAAAAAAAGTACATTATCGTGTCCGTTCCCGAAGAAAGAATTCAGTTCCAACGAATGTATCACTCTGCTGGTAGTGTGCTGTGGACACATGTCGAGGTCGACTGGAGAGCGCAGCTACGGTGTGGTGGATGTTGGAAAAATATTATATCAAAGGAAAACAGAGAAAACAAATGGGCATGGCAGTTGCGAATGTCAAGGACGTGCTACGCCGTCCGTGTAGTGAGTGGTGCTCAATAGAACGCATCATCTGAGGAATGTCTTGAGACACAAGACTGAACCGACTTGGACGCACTGCTCGACAGTCTGCGAATGTCTCGCTGGAAGGTTTTCCGCGCCAGAACGTAGAAGAACGTGTCGGCGATCAGGGTCAGCAGGTAGACGCGGATCGACCAGATGAAGAGATGCGGCGGCGCGTTGCCTGCGGTGACTTCTGTTGAAATGAACACCTACTTGTAGACATACAGAAGTAAATGTAGAAAGAAAGAAAAAACAACGAAAAAAATGAACGGTTAGGGAGAGTAGATCAGACCCGCCAAAGGGATTAAAGACCGAAACTCCCATTTGCTGCATCCATGCTTCCCTCGTGCCTGTCCACGACTTTCCAATTATCTGTTGGTCACAGACTCACAGTACGGCTAGAAATAATCCTTCCGCTTCTAAACAGGACTTGCACCGGGTACTCTCTTCTTCTCAATCATAGTCGTCACTGTGGTTGGCCATCATCCACTCTCTTAACATTGGCCGCTGTTTCCACCGAGTCTCGAGATGTATTTCAAGAGATGTATTAAATAAAACTGGTCTTTAATAGACCATCCTGTTATGCCTGCTTGCACATCAGACAAAATATCTGCCCAAAATGATGTCTCCATCCTTGACACTTCTTATACAAGTACATGTATTTGTGCTACAATTAACTTAATTAAGTTATGGTCTCCACATTGATTGTTGACAAAATGAGTCGCGAAACAATTCAGCCTGGCCTGGATGGAATTATATTATTTATATTTATATTTACTCAATCTGCGGACAGCATACTGTTTTGATCTTTGTGAACTATATTTATATTATTTTATTACAACATCTCAAGACTCGGTGGAAACACCGGCCAATGTTAAGAGAGTGGGTGATTGCCAACCACGGCGATAAATAAAAGTAAGGGGAGGGAAAAAGAAAGAGTAGCAAAATTAACAGCAACAACTCCGTAAAGAAAGAAAATGTCAAATAAAAACAGTGAAAAACACGAAGGACATGTGGAATTTAACCGGACCTGTCTATTGATGTACTCTGTACTAAAATTGTGGTCAACGTGGATTTGACGTACAGCTAATTCATTAGGATTTGCAGCTTGGACCCTTTCAGGCGCTTCTCCAGGGTCGGAGTCTCAACAACAGATTGTCCGCAATGCCTTTCAACACACACGCAGCACGTTCTACAACTCTGCAACCTTTATGTCATAATAATGAGTACGTCCCCAGACGTTCGTGTTGCAGGCCAAATGGACACATGTCACTTAACTCGAAACTTGCAGGATCAAGCCTTACGAATATTCACTGTCTTTTGACACACATGAGATACATACTCCAAAAATAATTTAATGGAATAACCAAGAACACACCGACACACACACACACACACACACACACACACACACACACACACACACGCACGCACACGAAACCTCACTTTAAAGCTAAAGACTCTTTCATACCAGCTTGATTTGTCTTGTTTAGCAAACACTCACTCACCATGAACAGCATCTGCGCAGCTAAGTTGATGAACAGCGTCAACACAGCAAGCTTAGTGACCGGAGCCAGAACGAAGCTGTGACGTAACAGGCGTAGCCGATCCAAGCTCATGGGCGTGCGCGGCGGTCTTGCTGGCAGAATGGAGGCTGCCCTTGAGACGGGCGCGTGGCTTGCGGATCGCGACTTCACGGCTACATGCCTCTGCTCCTCAACCTGTCCAAAATACTGGACACCGACTATTGTTCTGGGTGTGGGCTTCGAGACGTTCTGCTCGCAATCAATCCTAAACTGTGATACCGTGGCGGAGAACAGCTCGGAGTCGCTATGACTCGCGTACAGTTCCTCCGGTCCTGTCCGGACCGACTCGGTCACAACGTCGAAGAGCGCGGGTAGGGAGCCCCAGGAGGAATCGGAGGACAGTCTGGATGATGGGAGGAGTGGAGTGCTGAATGCGTCCATCGAGCGTGTGCTGCTGTGCTTCAACCCCTGTCTTGGCTCTGGCCACCGCTCAACGTCCATCTCACCCAAGGCAACCTGTACGGGCGCTGCGTTATTAGTGGCTCGAGATTGCCGCCGTTTCCGCTTCTCAGATTTGTGCTCCTGAAGAACAGTTGCGTCCCAAACGGCCAGAGTCCCTTGGCGGCTCTTCCGGCTTTGGTAGAACTTGTACATCACGATCACTTGGATTATGACCAGGTACGCCCAGAACAGAACCAGAAGTGCGATGCCGTACCCACTGACTCCCGATATTGCGTCATCCCTGAAGTCCAGCTGGCAGTAGTCGGCATAGAAACGCAGCCGACTCCCACCGCCGGCGAACAGTCCCACGAGTATACACAGTGCGCCGACGGTGTTTATGATGACGAACAACCTGAGCAGGCGATTGCTGAACGCAACCTTTCGGTTGTAGTACAGCGGCTTGACCAGGGAGACGAACCGTATAGTGGCAATGAAGATTACACACACAAACTGGACCAGGTTTATCACCGTCATGATGGCAAGATTGGCACGGAACGGGATCGACGCTTGAGGCACACTGGTAATATTGAGATAATGCTTGGCGGAGACAACGGGAAGGTAGAAGGGAACGCTGGTGATGCACACCAGGCAGTAGGCACCGACCACATAATCCAGCAGACATGCCTCGCCCCGCTTCGATCTCAGGACGTGCAAGGCTAGGACTCCGGCCGTGAAGCACGCCGCGCACACTGCAGCATCTATTGCCAAATCGGCGTCACTGTAACTGCCAGTCTCCGGTATGATATCAACACTACCATTGACACTACCATTGACACTGCCATTAGCACTACCATTGACGCTACCATTATCACTAACATTGACTCGAATATTTCTGCCAGCGTGTGCAGCAGTCGTAGAATACATTCGCTCTGTCATTCTCAATCACTGGCCTTCGCAAATGGTCGCTTTAAAACGTAAGGAATACATGTACATGTATTCCTAAACTGCTCTTCTCCATTGATAACTTTCTTCAGACTTTTCCCTTTTCCACTGCCACTAGTAGTGAATATATATTAATTACACGTAATAATAATAATAATTATTACAAATTATTATCACAAAAGACGCCACCGCCCGATTGCGAAACGCCTTTATAATGACCATGAAACTCGACAGCAACGGCAATCCCGGTCATCAAGCGGATTGGCACACGTGTATAGTTCTGGTGTTCCGAAGTGTAGGAACCGTCGGCCGTGCGTATTTTTATCTTTATTCTCACACGTATTGCACCTGCAGGGCTGTAGCAAGCACGATCTTGCCGTTGATGTCCTTGGCAATGGGTGAGACTGGATGCAAACTATCTGCACTGGTGAGAACAGATCCGCTTGAAGCTAGCTTGAGGAAGGCAATAATCACTGCTCTAGTTTCACTGTTCAGAAATATCGAACCCATAGCATTGCTGCACGATGTACTTACTCGCACTTCATCTGTCTTGATCGTGACCATGTAGGCTTTGGCCGAACTCTGTTGTGTTGAGAATGTGCCTCTAGCTTCACTTACAGGATTTGTCAATTATGTGGACAAGCCGGCCTGCATCGACCGCGGCAGAAGACGAGCTACACAATGCAGTGAGCTCGCGGGAACATAATGGATTCAGCGATAATTCACTGCTTGCTGCTACTGACTGAGTACTGAATCATAAGACACACAGCTGCTCTTCATCTCCACTGTCTCCAGTTTCGCTTCTTCTTCCTGTACATGACACAACTATACGTACACGTATAATACAGTGCCAAACTGGTTGTGTGTTTTTTTCCAACACAATCGTATAGCAACTTGTATTGTGGCAACACTTGCCAACACTCAGATGCACTGCTTCTTCACACAGTTGAACAATTATTCTTTCTTCTCAACGTTTTGGTCACTCTCACCATCTTCAGGATGAAGCAGACACGTACACGGAAGCAAAGCAGACTTTAAAACAATAAGCTGGCTAGGTGCGTGCGGAATACACCGGAATACAATCGTGTAGTATAATGATAATTATATGGCACAGACCGCGTACAATATACTTTCAAATATTAGCTGTATGGTATTATTGTGGAACACATCGTTCCCTTGCTGCTGCTCGACTAGGCATCGCCCAACAATTGTATAGCCGGTGGTGAAGCAACGGGCGCATTTTTTACCCAATGAATGGGAATATCGCTCTTTGTCCACTCTTCAGTTGGCCTGCTCTGCTCATCTCCCGCTAGAAGCTGCTGGTGTGCCTTGGCCCTTTGTTGAAGTTCGTGACTCTCTCTCTCTCTCTCTCTCTCTCTCTCTCTCGTACTGTACAGCTCGGATTTCCTCTTGATTTAGGTCCAGAACTGTAGAGAATCTATGATTATGGTACAAATGCGATAACTGCAAGCGAGACCCCACGGAATCCCTTGTACATCCTCCAGTACCACGCCACATTAATCCATTAACACAGAGGAGCAAGGTGATCGGAGCTTAAAAGTTCAAATGATGCTTACAGCCAAACTACCAGACAACTGTTGTCTTACTGTGCAGTATGGGTGTAATACCATTCGGCACACACACCATCATCACCCTGGTCCAGTTACGCGGACAGGTACCACGTTGGGGATTGATGCAGCACCATTACGCGTTCATTTAAACTGACCAATAAAAAATGCCACTTTTGTGCTAGATGGTGCACGTCTGACTGGTCAAAATCTGGTTTAGTTGATGGAGTCGATCGCATAACTTGTGCCCACACTTTCCATGTTACAAAATTAAATTTCAAATTTGTTTTTAATGTTTTCCTCGGCTCACCATCTGAGTTCTTAGAAGGCATTTCTTCCTCTTTCTGTAAACGCACTGTAACCCTGGTGCATGGCAGCATGTGTCCATATTGTTCCCAGCTTCGCGTAATCTCCTCTTATAGTACCTACACGGCGGACTTGCCGCCACACTATCGTTTATGTAACCCATGAATAATGGGCCAATGGGCCAACTTGAAATGAATCGGCCAAAAAAATTGTTTTCATTATGATTGTGAGTTGTTTTCTAATCCTCCGCCATGGCAAATTGTGTTTTGTCCGCCCATAAATGAGGCTTTGGACAACCAAAGAAAATGAATGTGCCAATACAATTACAAGTACGTGTACTTTGGTTTGGTTTGGTTTGGTTTTTATTATTTCAGTTCGTTGCCTCAACAGTACAAAGTACAAATATCAAGAGGGACGAACGAAAAGAGAAAATAAAACAGAGCAGAGAGGAAGATGCAACTGAAAGGAAAGAAAAACGGAGAGAAACGGAGAAGGAATGTGGACTGGGCGGATTCATGAACCATTACTAGAGAGAAACTTGAAGTAGACGTCTGACGAAAACGCTGAACGGTCGCTGGCTGGATAACGACTACGCCAACGCTTAGCGGTAGAGCATCGCCGGCCATCAGCGAGGGTCCCTGACTCGAGTCCTGGCTGTGACAGTCAGTTCTTTCTTCCGACGTTTCCCGTTTTGCAAATTTCCCTCAAACTTATGAAGTAGAACCTTGAAGTAATTTCCTTTTTTTCCTTTCGCTGTTTATTATTATTATTATTATTATTATTTTATTCCACGATGGCGTGACGCCCATAAGGACGATTGATAAGTGTGATAGAACTGATACTAGCCAGAAACAGCTACAATTAGATGGAAATTACCTGGGGAGGCAAGAAGTAGGGAGTCGTAAAAGCCCAGGAGAGGACACGGTACACATTCCCAGAAAACATCTTTGACTCGCGCTGCCGAGGAACGGAGTAGCATTTTCACTAATCCAGGTGTTGCGATGCCAGGAAATTTTAATTTCGAAATTGTGATATCTTCTTGAAATACTTCTTGGGACATTCTCCGATTTCTCTTAGAGCACGGAGACGATTGCTCCGTCGAGTCTTCTGATTTCTATTTTCATCCTCAATTCTTCCAGCTGCCTTGCTCATTCTAACTCATTTATCGGAGTTGATTTATCCTGAGACGATGGAAAGGCAAGGTGAATCCCAAACTGTACTTCAATTCTATTTGAGTTGGGGTGAACGAAACGAGTTTTGTGGGAAATGAAGCCACTTCCCGTGTAAGCCACTGGTCGCTTCAATTCTATTTTGAGGTGGGGTGAACGAAACGAGTTTTGTGGGAAATGAAGCCACTTCCCGTGTAAGCCACTGGTCGTATCATACAGCCCATATTCCATTGCAGGTGGTGGGCGAAAGTTCTTGTGCAGATCCGCTGAGCTTCCTCGTACTCGTGGAGTTGAATTTGGGTCAGGAATTGCACTGAAATTGTCAAGTTGACTTCGGTGTACGTGTGTGTTGTTGTGGTGAGCCGCAAAGGCTCCCTTCCTTCATCATCGTCAAAACGCAACATACAGCATTATAACGCACTCATTCCATGTTTAATTAGACTACCCGGATTCTTTTAAAAACAATCGCTGTGTGTTCTCTATCTACATGGAGGCAGCTGGGTATTAATAAAACATTTAATTCCCGTAGCTATGCAGAAGACGTTACTTCAGTAACGTCTGGCGCTAGCCAGGGTCCACACAGCTTTAATTTGGTGTTTGTTTGTGTGTTTGTGTGTTTGTGTGTTTGTGTCACGCCTGGCGCTATCCCGTATCTGTCCCGTACCGTACCGTACCATCAAACACAGCTGGCCGCATACAGCTGGCCGCAATACATGTATTCAAATAGGGCTTTCAAACGCAAGATCATAACGTGAAGCAACTTGGAAGAATGAGTATGAATGCGAAGTGTATGGGGGAATGCATGTGGGGCGATAGTGCGGGTTCGAATCCCAGGTAATGCCTAAAAAAATAGGAGAATTGAAAAATTTATAACATCCCTTTTCTTTTTTTGCCGTCATCAAGGCGGTAGACGGTGTCGTATTACCCTCGACCGTACCTGTCCCGTACCTGTCCCGTACATGACCCGTACCTGTCCCGTACCTGTCCCGTACCTATCCCGTACCGCACCGTACATTCAAAGACGGCTGGCCACAATGCATATTCAAATAGGGCATTCAAATACAAGATCATAACGTGAAGCAACTTGGAAGAATTAGTATGTATGCGAAGTGTATCGGGGGGGTGCATGCAGGGCGATAGTGCGGGTTCGAATCCCAGGTTTATTATGTCTAAAAACAAAAAGTAGAAACTTATAAGAATTTATAACATCCTTATGCTTTTTTTGTCTAGGTCATCAAGGCAAAAAAGCATAGCGTAGGGCCCTGAGCTTCCAAGCTCTCTCGTAGGTGATTTCGAAAGAAAAAGTCAAGAGTCATCTGTCCGTTAGTGATAGTTGTCGTGAGTTGTACAGAGACGATGTTTTCTCAGTTTTGGCCTGTGGCAGATCTGTATTACATTAAATTTTGTCTGTTTTGAAGCGTTATATATCCGTCAGTTGTCCCCTGAACTATGTGTTCAGAAGGAAAATCACGGTTTTGTCGCTGCAGTTGTTTGGCGCTAATCCTCGTGAAGGATTCATCAGGTCGTACTTGCGACGGCGTAAGTTTCGATTTGCCTTCGACACGCCAAAGCAAGATCTGAACGCATTCGTCAAACTAGAATCACTGCAGTACCGTAGACAATTTATTAGCCTAGTTACATTGCACAAGTTTATTTTCAAATACCGGAACACCTTGGCTCAGTTCAGTTTTAATATTTCCCGTAGTGAGAGACGCCCCAATAAAATTATCCTCCCCAAAGCCTTGACAACATCCAAATCACTGTTTTTTTTTAACCCTCCCTTTTATGGAATTGTCTCCCACCCGCATTGACTTCGGAATCTTCTGTCCATATATTCAAGAAAGAGCTGCGCAAACATTCTTGTCAGTATTCAGGTCTACTCGCTGGCATGCCGTTACCCTGTTCATCGTAGTCCCCCCCCCCCCCCTTCCCAATCTGTACTCTCTTGTAC